TGCTCTTTTATTTATTGGTTTAATCTATATTATTCATATTTTTTAGAACTCATCAGACACCCAAATCTTTCTGTCTAAGAATACCATCAAGCCTCTGGGGAACATGGTGTTCAGCAAAGTGGAACGTCTTCTAGATGATCAAAGATTTGTAGATAATGATATTCCGGGATACCAAGTCTTCCTGCCCTTGGTGGTGACTTAGCAGTTGCAGGAACTGAGTTGGCACGACAAGGCTAAAGAAAAACATATTCAAATAAATCTCAGCTTGGATGGTAGATCATTTGGTGGTAATTTTTTGCTTTGTTTACTTTGCAAAGTACTAGCTCCTATTCCACCTTTGTTATCTTGTGAAGCAGAAATAACATGTTTTATTGTAGTATATTGATGCCGTTTAATTGTGAATAAGACTTGCTACTAATACTCATGAAAAGTAGAGATTTTACCAGCTCTTTTTTTCAAGAAAATGTTTCTTTCCTGTATATTTTTTCTTTGACAGTTTATGCTTATACAATTTATTCAGTCTCAAAAAAGGAGAGGAAAATAAAACCACTAAATGAAAAAGAACACTATATTTGACTGGTTAAAATTCTCATGGATGTGTGTTTAACAATTGTTTTATATGTTTATGTTTTTTGTTATTTTTGTGACCCTCCACAGACTTTTGGGTAAAATGGTGATGACACGGACACGCGTGCCATGATACGACACACTTTTCGTGTCACAATGTCACGGATATGCGCATATTTAATAAGTAAAACAAAGACTGTCACAGTAGGTTTTGTTTGACACGCTTAAGCCTTTGTTTCAAGCAGTGCGCTATAAGTCACGCCTTGTGTTATGTGACACGGCACGCGTGTCATCAGGCACGCGTGCCTTATGACACGCATGCGATGTAGTTACACACTTAAGGAATAACACACCAGCACTGGATAGTCCCAGGCACGCAAAGCATAAGATCAGACTGATGTTTAAAGAAACAAAAAACCATTATAAACTGTCTAACTTCTTCCGGCTGTTCTTTACTTTCCTTTACAAGATGGTCCACAAAAAAACAGAGCTTCAAAAGGGGAGGAATGCGAACGAATGATTTCAAAAAGAAGTAACGTTTCTTTTTTTTGTGTTACGTACCAGCACAGAGTGAGATGTATTGAAGCGACTAAACTGCTTCCCCCAGCGGATAGGCCGAGCCTGATTACTGTTATTTCGAAATTTTACACGCAAATGATATTCATTTTCAATTTACTGAAGTTATATTTATCTGTTTATATAGAGACTACAGTCGTGTAGTCCCACTTTATAGTGCTATAAATCTCGAAAGCTTGGTTCGAGCTAAGAACCAGTCTCCTTACGGTGTTACACGTTGTTGCTATAGCTACATAAACAAACTGCCGTACTTTGTTCTTAGAAAAACAAACCTGTGTAGCTATTATGGAACGGGGTCAATATTGGGGTTTAAGTTTAATTTCGGGACATTTACAACTCTTACAAACTGTATCAGAAGTCTACTTTACAGCTCGAGAGAATGACGAGGAAACAGTTGATTCAGACTCTGAAAGCAGCAGTTAAGACAGTTGTGATGACCTCTAGGACATGCAAGACTTGGATTTTGATTTCCTGGAAATACACACTTCCGAAAAACTGAGAGTAGAGAAGTTCTATGAAGAAACGTGCCAATGCAAGTTACCTGCATATGAGAAGCCCTGTAGCACAACGCTCAAAATTGATGATTTTGTGGACTGTAGAAATAACTGCAGTAAACTCTCGTCCACTGAACTTGACCTGGTTATATTTGGAGCTATCCAATGTTCGTTGAACTGTCACGAAACCAGCACTTCTGGCAGAACAGAAAAAAATCGACAGTATACAAGAATGGGATATTACTATCACGGCCAAAGAATCTGCATGAGAACATTTCTCTTTCTACACTGCCTCCACAGAAATCGCTTCTACAGCCTGGTGAAACATTATCATAAAAATGGTTTAAGCTTGCTAGTGCATGGGAACAAGAGTCAACTGCCGAGTAGCACCTCCGCTGCCGAGACAATTGAGCAAGTTGTAAAATTTATTTTGAATACTGCTGAAGAACAAGCCCTCCTTTTGCCGGGACGTGTACCTGGTTTTAAAAGAATCGACGTCAAGCTCCTGCCATCGCATCTTACAAAACATGGACTCTGGAGAACATATACGAATATCTGCGTAGGCATGGGCAAACCGTCCGTGGGATATTCTAAATTCTGCGATCTTTGGAATCAGCTGTGTCTTTTCATTGTCATTATGCGGCCTGCTACCGATTTATGCTGGACTTGTCAGAAAAACAATAACCGTATTCAAAACAGTGTGAACCTACCAGAAAGCGACAAGGCCGAAGCAGTGAGAGCTCAAGAACAGCACTTACTTCTTGCGACTGGAGAACGGAACTTTTACAACTGTTGTCGAGAATCAAAAGATGGAATTCAGGAATATTTAAAATTTGTTGATTTTGCAGTCGAACGCGAGCCCT